ACTATTATTACATAGGCTATGTACTATTATATATATTATAATTATACTATTATGTACCTGATGTAACTTAAGTACATTACATAAGTTACATTAAACTGTTGTCAATATGGGCATACTACTCATTGGTAGGTCAGTTGGATTCTCGATTCAATTGTTCAAAGTATCAAATAATCTTTTGTGCAAAGGGTTAAAGGTCTGTCCCATATAAAGGCTTGCAAGAAGCAAATAAAAGCCTGGGCTATTAATTTAAATTTTACAGTATGTTAATTGTTGTGATGACACAGCAGATGAGAAATAAAAGAAAATACACCTTGAATAACAAAATAGAAATAATACTAGATATCAAGAAAAAAATATAAATTAGTATCCATATATTAACACCCTTAGTATTGTAAGGTCATGTTAACTTGCTTTCATTTCTGCAGTCAGGCTGTCAATCAATACCAAACACTACACTCAGGTTCTTTGTGCTGATTTCAGTTTTCTTTTTGAATCCATTAAACCTTCACATGGCTGGCGTTGTGCTGCTGAGCCAATTAATTCATTAGTGGATTCACAATTTTTTTTATAAGTGATTAATTATGGGGCGGCTCAGAGGCAGAGCGGGTCGTTCCTTAATCGGAAGGTTGTGGGTTCGATCCCCAGCTCCTGGTGCCACATGTCGAAGCAAGATACTGAACCCCAAATTGCTCCTGTTGCCCTGCATCGGTGTGTGTGAATGTGTATGAATGTTAGTTTCTGTTCAATGGACTTTGCCATCACTGTGTGTATAAGGGTGAAAGTGGCACGTAGTGTAAAAGCGCTTTGAGTGGTCGGAAGACTACAAAGGCGCTGTACAGGTCCATTTACTATTTAATTATCAAAGAAAACTGCCAAAAATATTGGCCCAGCTTCTCCAATGTGAGTATTTGTATGTGTCTGGTAGCATTTTAAACGCAATATCTTTGGGCTGTTTCGACTGTTGTTTGGACTAGATGTGCAACTTTAAGACATCACCTTGGGCTCTGGAACTTTGTTGTGCATTCTTTTTCCCTTTTTAGAAACTAAAAATGTAACAGACTAATCATAAAAAAACCCAACAGACTGTTATAACGATGAGTTGCTGCTGTGGTTGATGCAATCAGTGAACTGTTTCAGAGGTCAGGTGCACAGCCTGTACCGTCACCTCAGCGGTCCTCACACTGGGAGTATACTGTATGTGTACAATTGCTGTTCTTACTGCTCTGTCATGTCAGCATACTGTTTAATCACATATTCTCTACAATAATAGTTACCATTTTTCCTCATGCTGTTCTACTCTGAAGTCAGCCCTGCCTGCACACTGTGCGCTTGTGTAACAGCTCATGGGCTGCACATTTTTCTGCTTGCACAACTGGAAATGTGATGTTGCCGCCTTGCCTCTGCTTCGCTAAAAGAACATTAAATTAAATGCAGATAGTCACAGAGACTTTGCACATCCTTTTCCATCACTTGGAAATAATTGCGGCTGTGTTTCTGGCTCCGCTCTTCCTTGCTCTCCAACCACGGGGAGGAGCGTTGCTGCCGCCAGAGATGCTCTATGTTTGAGAAGAAGGCTCACTCACTGAGGCAAGGGATGCTGCACATCCTGGTATACAGGCTGGAACTAAAGGAATGAGGGCAGTGGTGGATCAGAATTCTCTAAGGAGTACTATAATGATTCCCAAGAGCTCAATGTTGAATTTGAATAAAATAGCTCGCTGTGAACAGACTGATATCTTATAAGGTTTTATAACCCCTCATGGAAATAGACCGAGGTATCAAAGCTGTAGTAGGTAACTTTTATAAAAAATCCTTTGTCATATTTCCTGAAACTTTCACTATATCCTGACAATTGTACATGCAAAAAATCAGGTTCCTCTGGCTCCTCCTAGTGCTCCTAATGGTATGTGCAAGAATCCATCGGGCGGAACGAAATTTCGCACAAATTTCCAGAACAGTAATCTGCATATCGTTTGTCCTACTTCGTTGACATATAAGGTTTTTACAGAGGGAATTTTGGATATCTCTTTTTAACACTTGATAGCTCAAAAGATAGTGTCAACAGCCATAGGAACAAATTGCCATGTTGTTAGGAATACAATGTGATATAAATCAGGCTGTGAATGAAACATATAACAAACTCCTTTATAAAAACCTTCAGAACTGGAACAGAACTCCATAGAATGCAACCCTGTAGATAAAACATCTCATTTTAAGGTGACAAAAACCCAATAATTTTTATGTTCAAGAAACTATACACAAATCAGAACATACCTATGAATATTATATTCCCTTTCTGACAATAGATCCACTTAAATGTTACACACTGGACCTCTAAATGTCCAAATGTGGCATTATCTAATGCTAACGTTTGGTGAAATCTACAGACACAAATAGGCAAATTGTACTAAAATAAACACCCAAATGTGTATTTTGGGCATTTTGATTCCACTAGTCTGAAAGAAGATGTGTTATGGAAGCAAAATAGACCAAAATGTCCAAAATTGATCAATGCATGAAAATGAAAAAACATGTTTCGTGTAGTATCTCACCTTAATATGCCAATATTACAAAATATCATAAAGCTACTCCTTATTTGATAGTTATAAAACAGTACTTCACTCTATTGGTTACCATATCAACGGTTAATTTGTCATTTTTGTCATTTGGTTTAGTAATTTATATTTGTTTGACAACATTGTGTTTAACTTTTTCACACTGTATTTATAGGACATTCAGTATAGAGTCTGATATTGATCCACAGAATAATCATAGATTGTGTTCAATTACAGTAAAAGTTATTCAATTAAATAAATACATTTCTTTATTCTGTATTTAGAAGCCCTTCCATATATATGTATTAAGACATATATATAAATCATCTGCTTGGAACAATAATGTGTGTCTGGTCTGTTTTCACTAGAGATGTTCCGATACCATTTTTTCCCTCCCGATACCGATTCCAACAATGTCTGACCTGCTCCCTCACTGACAAACATGTCAGTTATTTTACAGCACCTCGCTGATCTGTGGCCAGTGCTTTTAGCTTTTTAAGCCTCTCCCTCTCTGCTCCACCTTTCCTCTTGGGCTGTCGATCTCGCTCCATTTTTCAAGCATGTAGAACTACAGGTGAGGGAGGAGGGGAGCGCAACTTGGTGTGTGTGTGTGTGTGTGTGTGTGTGTGTGTGTGTCTGCTTGCAGTGCTGTGACAGAGAGCCTCAGAAAAAGAGAGGAGGGGGTGTGTTTGTGCCCAACGTTGCTGCTCAGTCTGTGTGAGCTTCAGTGAGGCAGATACTCTAATGAGCCGCACGATGGATTGTTTATTTCAAAATCAAGCGCGACCTGAACCGAGCCTTTGGTCCCGACCAGTTCAGCGGACTGGCCACTGGGAAATGTCCCGGTGCTCCCGATGGCCAATCCGCCACTGCTGTGATATGATTATCACGTCTTCATGCATGTCGCCGTCTTACTGGTGGGAACATCCACTGTAAAGTACTGCCAAACCGCCGTCATGATGCACTAACGTTAGCTCCTTTTAACAGGTGTCAGGCGTCAGGTGATCAATTCTTCTTCGCCCCTCTAAAACAGCAGCTGCCGATGGCACACATTAACAACCTTTTAAAAAAAGCCTTGATTTCTTCATCTACTCCTTCTACCTCATTATAGAATTCCCAAGGCACAAGATGTCTCCTCCTTCACTGTAAAGTCCATTCTCAGTGGATGTGCACTGGTGACTTCAAGGTTTCTACATCACACTGTACAAGTTCGATACTGGACCAGGACTGACTTCCAAACTATTTGTGATGTCATAAATCCTGCTGGTAGGCCCCGCCCCTTAAAATCAGCTTTTCAATGAGCACAGAGAAACTTTCCACTTTCAGCAGATGAATGTGAAAACATCCTTCTAGAGTCAAACTACACAGACAGCATTCACACAGCACACTGTAGGGACAAGAAGAGAAACATCTTTTGGACTGGAGGGGGATTTTAAATGATGAAAAAATGTTTTTGTTTTAAAAAATGTTTGAAGTGATGACATATTCCAGCCATTCACTATTATTTCTTAATTTTTTTTCCTGCATTGATATATAACTTAATTCTGGGATTTCTTGTATTTGTATGGTGGAAAAAGATACAATTAAATGGAACAAGAAATGGTGTAATTTACTGCAGAATGAGAGCCATGAATATCCATACCACATATATGCAAATGATTAACCCGTTTTCCATTGGACCAAAATGGAAGTCAATGGACAAAATAACATTGCGTAAGCATTCTTAAAGGACCAATGTGTAATGTGTGTTTGTGGCATCTAGTGGCGTGGTTGCAGATTGCAACTCACTCAATTCACCCTCTCCTTCCAAGCACGAGGATAAACCATGCGCTAAAAATGTGAACACCCCTATCTAGAGCCAGTGTTTGGCCGGTCCAGTATGCAGCTTGTACAGTGTGATGTAGAAACTTGAAGCCACCAGTGCACATCCACTGAGAATGGACTTTACAGTGAAGTAGGAGACATCTTGTGTCCAGCAGGAAAATCAACAACATTTGCATATTCAGTGAATTCTATAATGAGGTCGATCAAGAAATCAAGGCTTTTTTAAAAAAGGTTTTTAATGTGGAAATTCTACCCTTGTGTGAAAAACAGACCAGACACACATTATTGTTCCAAGCAGACTATTTATATATCTATATATATTTATATAGACATCTTGTGTCCAGCAGGGAAACTTTAGAAATCAACAACATTTGCATATTCATATATTTTATGGATTTTATATGTCTTAATACATGCTGGAGGGGGTCTTTAAGGTCTCAGTACTGTATGCTTTAAATAAAGTAAGACTAGCTTGGTTCGCACTTTTAGTCTCTCTTTAGGGATATTCACGGTGATACTCTTGAGAAAATGTCCCTTCCTGGAAATCTGGAGCTGATCAGTCGCTGCACCGAGGCGCTTCTACCACAATGCACTGCAGGACAGCATCGACCACACATGCCTGGGAATCAGAGTGAGACCTCTTCACTTTCCCCTCCTCTTCGGTGACGCTGTAGCAGCCGAGCCGCTGCCGGTTCGCTCCCCTCACTGCCTCACTCCGCCCGGCTGGCTGACTGCGTGCTGCACACACCGCGTTTAAACCGGGAGACAGAGAGGGCGCAGAGGCGAACCCACCACAGACAGTAGCGGGTCTGCACCTCGACTACACGGACTGTGGATTTAAGCAAGAAAGGCGAAGTTGAAGGCGTCACCACTGCGACAGGGGAGCCGCTCTGCACTGCTGTCCAGTTAACAAGGTAACCAAACCCGGCTGACCTGCCGCTTTACGCACGGTAACCAGAGTTCCTGCGCTGCGGTGGTAGATAGAACGGAGGCTGAAGAGCCATACAGCATCATCAGAGACACAGTCAGTGGACTGCATTCCCTCTGCCCTCCTCAAACTTCAGTCAGTCTGGTCGCTCTCTCCGGGGCTCAGGGCTCCAGCCGTTCGTGTACATCCTAAAATAATTCCCACAGTTCTGTGGGGCTGACTGGATGTGAGTTCCACCTTCAACTGCATCCTGCGGGGAGTTTATTGTTTAGGATGAGGGAGAGGCGAGCTGCCATTTGGGCAGTGATGATGTCTATACTAAAAAGATAATGATTTCTTGCAGTGCGCAGGACTTTGACGTCGCTGCTTCGTGTGTGTGTGTGTGTGTGTGTGTGTGTGTGTGTTGGCTTTCCATGTCGCCTCGCGTCTCGGTGCATTCTGCCCCTGCATGACATCTCTCTCTCTCTCTCTCTCTCTCTCTCACACACACACACACACACACACACACACACACACACACACTTTCTCTTCTCAGTTCAGTGAGATTGACTCGATGCAAAATATCAACATTCCTGCAAATAAATCCCCTCTCTTCCTCTGTCTCTTTCTCTTATTGCATGCCTGTGCAGCTGCATGTGTGTGTGTGTGTGTTCCTGTGGGCAGCATCTCATTCCCAGCAGATGTTGAGGGTGAAGCTGTGAAATTCATTTGTGGCGAGACAGAAAGACCCCTTTAAGACAGATGTAATTGTCACCAGTGGTATTTAACTCTCTCCACACCTCGTTGTTTCTGCTGTTGACACCACATTCTTTGGCTGTGACAAGTGAGTGTAGCAGCCAGAGAGCTAGCCAAGTGTGTGTGTGTGTGTGAGCATTGATGCATGTGATTGGGTGGGTGCACTCTTTGCTCTTCTCGCTCAATATCTGACTGACTGTGTGTGTTTGTGTGTGTGTGTGTGTGTGTGTGTGTGTGTGTCTACATGTGCATTTGAACATGTGTGTACAGTCTCACTGTGTGTACCTGTGTGAGCAGCTCACCTGTAAGGCCATTAATATGGGAAAGCTTTCATCTATTTTTATTGCTACTCAATAATTCAGAAGCGGTCTCAGAGGTCGGCACCTGTTCGTCCGTCAGCTTCCGCTCGCTCTGGTTCCTCCTGCGGGTTCCGGTCGTGCTCTGTCACTGTGTGTGTGTGTGTGTGTGTGTGTGTGTGTGTGAGAGAGAGAGAGAGAGTAGATTTATCACCTTTCTAACCATTTCATCAGGTGAAGCCTGTTTTCCCTCAGAGGGAACTCCAGCCTTCAGGCTCTGTTTGAAAATGCTGTAGTGATAAAGATTCATTGCTGATGTGAATTTAACGGTGGCACGGCACAGATCCAATTCATCTTATGGATGACTGACAGCAGAGGACTGGGGAGGTTCTAATATATTCTCTTATTTTGTTCTACTTGTGAGGACACAGTGCATAAACTGAGGCGTCTCCCTACAGCCTACTGTATGTATGGTGTATGTTACATGTGGAGTTTAATGTCCTGATGTGTGAATTGTTGCAACAAGGACCTTTTCTCTTGCAACACAGGGAGTCTGTCACTGGTGCGCTGTTGCATATGCTAACTGTACTAGCTGTTAGTTAGTTAGCTACCTATTAGCTGTAATGGTAAATGGACTGTACTTATAGCGCCTTTCTTTCTCAAAGCTTTTACAGCTTTTACACTACATGCCACATTCACCCTTTCACACCCTTTCACACAGTGATGGCAAAGTCCATCGAACAGAAACTAATCATTCATTCACACACCATCAAAATAGCAATTTTGGATTCAGTATCTTGCTCAAGGATACCTCGACGGGCGGGAGAAGCCTGGGATCGAACCAACAACCTTCCAATTAGTGGATGACCCGCTCTACCTCTGAGCCACAGCCACCTGGCTGACTGTACCCGGACTGAGAGCTGGAAGGACAGGGGGACCCAGCGGGGAATACTACCGGGGAACGCACAACTTTTCAGCAGTTGCGACCAAGACTCTGACTCTGGGGATGAAGACACAGCGGGTTCAGGCAGCGACAGGAGAGGAATGAAACAGAGAAAGAAGAGCCAGTTTGTAGCCAGTTAATTTGAAAATAACTGTTAATATTATCCATCATTCATTGTATCAATAGGTTTACCAGTATTTGTTTTAGTGAAGTTGGAAGTTTTTTATTCTGTGTTTTGAACAACCAAACTGTGTGATGTTACACTGTGTTCAAATAAATGAAGAGTCATTACCACTTTTTTCGTTAAACATAGATTCAAATAGTTAAATTAATATCATAAACACGTGACAACTAGTTGACTATATACACACTTCAGGCCAAATTTTGCTTTCATATGGGCCTCCCCCGTTATATACGCAACCTTCAGTTTTTCAGAATGCTGTATGTTCCTGTATGCACATTTTTTCCCCGATATTAATTTGCAGCCAGACTGTCAACAGTCCCACAACTTTTATTTAGACTCAGTGACTCTTTTTTGTTTTGAGGTGGGAATCAAACTGATAATTAGAATTCTGTGAGCTGCTTAACGTGTATAGGCTATATATTTTTATATATATATATATATATGTATATATTTGGACACACCTTCTCATTTAATGGTTTTTCTTTATTTCCATGACTATTTACATTGTAGATTCTCACTAAAGGCATCAAAACTATGAATGAACACATATGGAATTATGTAGTAAACAAAAAAGTGTGAAGTAACTATTTTAAAACATGTTTTATATTTTAGATTCTTCAAAGTAGCCACCCTTTGCTTTGATTACTGCTTTGCACACTCTTGGCATTCTGTCGATGAGCTTCATGGGGTAGTCACCTGAAATGGTTTTCCAACAGTCATGAAAGAGTTCCCAGAGATGCTGAGCACTTGTTGGCCCTTTTGCCTTCACTCTGCGGTCCATCTCATCCCAAACCATCTCGATTGGGTTTAGGTCAGGTGACTGTGGAGGCCAGATCATCGGCGCACCCATCTCTCCCTTGGTGATGCCTTACAGCCTGGAGGTGTGTTTGGGGTCATTATCCTGTTGAAAAATAAATGATGGTCCAACTAAACGCAAACCGGATGGGATGGCATGATGCTGCAGGATGCTGTGGTAGCCATGCTGGTTCAGTGTGCCTTCAATTTTGAATAAATCCCCAACAGTGTCACCAGCAAAGCACCCCCACACCATCACACCTCCTCCTCCATGCTTCAAGGTGGGAACCATGCATGTAGAGACCATCCGTTCACCTTTTCTACGTCGCACAAAGACATGGCGGGGGGAACCAAAGATCTCAAATTTGGACTCATCAGACCAAAGCACAGATTTCCACTGGTCTAATGTCCTAATGTATCTCAAAAGCCCAAACAAATCTCTTCTGCTTGTTGCTTTTCCTTAGTAGTGGTTTTTTAGCAGCTATTTGACCATAAAGGCCTGATTCACGCAGTCTCCTCTGAACAGTTGATGTAGAGATGTGTCTGCTACTAGAACTCTGTGTGGCATTATTCTGGGCTCTAATCTGAGGTGCTGTTAACTTGCGATTTCTGAGGCTGGTGACTCGGATGAACTTATCCCCAACAACAGAGGGGACCCTTTGTATTCCCTTTCCCGGGGGATCCCCTTATGAGCCAGTTTTTTTTTAAGGGCTTATTGGTTTTGGGAGGGTGTGGGGGGAAAAAAAAAAAAATTTTTATAATTTTCCGGGAAAAAACCCCCTTTTTTTTTTAAATTAATAAAAAATCAATTTTTTTTTATTTATTTTTTTTTTTCAAAAAAAAAAAAAAAAAAAAAAAAAAAAAAAAAGGGGGAGTAGAAAAACAAAAACCCCAAAAAAAAAAAAAAAAAAACAACCCAACCAAAAAAAAAAAAAAAAAAAAAAAAAAAAAAATGACAAGGCACACCTGTGAAGTGAAAACCATTTCAGGTGACTACATCATGAAGCTCATTGAGAGAAGGCCAAGGGTTTGCAGCGCTATCAACAAAGCAAAGGGTGGCTACTTTGAGGAATCTAAAATATGAAATATTTAAGTTATTTCACACTTTTCTATTTACTACATAATTCCATATGTGTTCATTCATGGTTTTGATGCCTTCAGTGAGAATCTACAATGTAGTCATGAAAATAAAGAAAAACCATTAAATGAGAAGGTGTGTCCAAACTTTTGACTGGTAGTGTATATAGAAAAGAACTACAGGAAACTTACACTTCAGGTGTATGCCATGCCAGTGTCCCAGCCTCAGACAGCCATTAGTGAGGCTGTAAACTCTTAAGGATCTTTTAATTTCATTCTCACTATTTTGTACCTCCTCGTCTCCTCCTCCATCTAGTTTATCTTTATGGATTACAAATATGCCGAATTGGAAGGAAGACTGTTGACATGTGACGCCCTTTAGGTCGTGTTTCTAGAGTTTGACTTACAAGTTTCCCTGAAAGTTCAGAATTTATAGTGGAATAAACTGGGCTTCACAGTGAAAGAGCAATTTTATTGGTGATTATTGAAGGCAAATGACACTTTCAGGATTTAATTTAAAGAATATTCACCTGCCATACTAATCTTCCTTCTTTTAACTATAACTATGTGTGGGAAGCAAATATGTTTGGATAAAAAGTATGACGTGTGGATACGCAATTAAAAAAAATCTTTCACAGTTTGCCATGTTGTGAATTGAATAATAGTTAATAGCTAATAGTTATGAACATCGGTGGCATTTTTTTTTTTTTAATTACCATTAAAGATAGATGATCGGTGGGCCAATAATCTGGCATTTTGAGATAATCGTTATCAGCCGATGTCTGCGCTCCTGAGGCTGTAAAGAAAAACTGTCTTCAGACACATCTGCAGGCGGCGTTGTCAGCGTGGCCGCTGTAGAACAACGTTAGCGACCCCCTTTGTGAGTTTTGGGAAGGTGGTAAAAGAGTTGGTTTCGAGCCCTGTACTATAACTCTCATACATCCTGCTGTAAACAT